TATATTTTTTTTAATATATGTATGTTATTATTCTATTATTTTATTAATTTTCTTTTTAACTTCGTAGAATCTCTTCTTAAAGATTATCTTTGTTTTTTGTCAATATTAAGTCGCGCGTGATAAGAATGACGATGAAAACGGTTTTGCCTTGATAAATGACGATATGTCGCACTAAATAGTCACCTGTATTCTCGCCTCCGGCAGACCGATCTTGCCGGCGAGTCTCTCTCTGGCGAACACGTCCGGATAATGCGTCCTCTCGAACTCCTTCTCGAGTGCGTCAATCTGCTCGTTGCTGAAGCTCGTGCGGTTTCTCTGCAGCTTCCTCTTCAGACGTAGACGCGCCTGATCGTCGTCGGCGCCGCCCGACACGCTACCGGCGTTGCTGTTGTCACCCCCGCTGTTCGTCTCGTCCGAGTGTGCGCCACCCTCGAGCTCGGTTACTGTAACACAATAAGACGCAACGTGCACCATTATCAACGTCTTTTCACGCGAACGGGCAATCTTGTCTTTCATTCGTAGCAATTTTTGATTACAAGTTCCAACGTAACCGTCGTCACTGAAGTATCGTTTCTCGGTCTTCTTCAGTCGACAACATAATTTTTTGATTTTAAGCAAAGCAAAGCATAGCGTATGTTTTGCTATAGTAGTCTTTGTGTATTCTTTGTATTCTAGAATGGCGTATGGACTAACTTAACTCGGTCCACTGAGCCAATTTTGCACCAAACCAAACCTTTCATTCGTAGCACAAGTAATTTCGACATTTTTTCAGAGGACTTTAGAGGATTTAATATTCCAATTTCCAGGGTGAAAATGACTAAATCGAGAAAAGAGATATCTGTTTCAGGAAGAGTTAAAGTTGATTGTAACGCGTAATATCGAAGAGATGGATATTTAATCCTTGCCGGACTTTTTTACACCGATATGTGCGATTAACACGCACGCAACGAGCAAAATACATCGATGCGGTTTAATATTTCTTCGCAATCGTAACACATACACACACCGAGGAGATGGCGATGTATTATCAATGCCAGCGTGTAAGTGATAACGCGCCGCACGATTTGGCGTTTCGCGGCGCTTATCCTCTCTCCCTCTTGTCCTCCTTTCCCTCCCTCCGGCCTTCTTATATCTATTCCCACGTGCGTTCGTGTGTGTGTGCGCGCGCGAGTGTGTGTGTGTGTGCTGCACGTATACGTGCGGACGAACGCGTATGTGCGGACGAACGAGCGGTATAGGCAGGCAGGCGTCGCCGGGTGAACCTTATCGTCGGTTTCTGGGTGAGCGCGTCGAGGCGTCACCGGGTTTGCCTCGACGACGGCGAGGGGTGGCGCGAGGAGGTACAGGAGAGGACGCGCGATGAAGAAGGGCGCGCGGAGGGTAGGCGAAACTACCAGGCAAGGGGGTGCCCGATAAGACGACGGGCGTCCCGACGCCAGTCGCCGGCCACCCCACGAGATACGCCACTGTCATTCCCGCGACAGGACCTCCTCTACCTCCTCTTCGCTTCGGGAAGATCGGGTCTGACTCGGCGTGACGTGTTGCCGAGGTATTAGTTCCATTATACGGTACACGCGTATTAATTATGCAGTTCTTTTCTATATAATTTGATATTTGTCACATCCCAGAGTCGGGAATAATGAGAAGTCGCGATCATTCTCTGTGTTTCCTGTCAAAAGGATCACGCGAGACTTTTGATTTCCGTACCATCAGGTGATTAAGTCTCTCTGTCGCCCCACTTTGAAGTCACGTACCGATACATCGATGTTCTTTTAAGTCTGATTTCATTTTTAGCCGCAATGTAGCGGGGTCTTATTCTGTCGCCTCTCTTTCGTTTTTTTTTTTTAAACATGAATAAGTAAAAATGTTACTTTGTGTCCAGAGATTGATATTTACTGGTTACGTAAATTTTTGTATACTCACGAAAAAATTTGGGTTAAAGGGTGTTAACAAACAGTCGATCAATTCAACCCCTTTTCCGCTATTTTTTGTAGTACAAATAAATTTGTGATTGTTTTAACTGTATACTTTCGTTTGATTCACAATATCATTGTTTATCTTAATATTGCTCATCAAATATCAGTAATATGTTAATAAGTCGCAAAGTTAGCCTCGAGATTACGGAACATAGCGCGTATCGCGCGTACGACGATGTTGGTATCACAGGCGAAACTCTCGGAGATAACGAAAACGTCTGTAATAATCGTCGTATAGCGGTAAAATCCGGGATACATCCCCCGCGCATCTTCCTTTCGCGCTGCGCGATTCGCTCGAGGTAGCTGGCAGACGGCCACGCTAGTAGCGGCAAAGTTCTCGCGGCTGAGCAGGGGTTGGGTTCCCTCGAACTTCCTCCCCCGCGCGCGCGTTCAAGAGAATCGAGTGCGACGTTGGCGTACAAGTTCTCCGGCTTTCCCCCTCCCCTCCCTCGTCTCCTCTCCTTGTGATCCTCACTCCTCCTTTTCCACCCCCCGACTTCGTAACCGTGCGCTGCAAACGATATCTTTAGGGGCGGCCTCTCTCCGTCAGTATCCGCACCGCCACGGGGTTAACGCTACGAGGGTGTCTTAAGCGGTAATTAAAACCGCCTTATCCTACTCTCTCTCTCCTCCTCCTCCTCCTCCCTGTCCCCTCCGAAACTTGTGAAGCAACTTCGTGCCTTCGCGGTTCCCGGATCTCGTCTTTACTGTTACGGCCAAGTCGCGTCGCTGCTCATCGCTCCTACACGCGGTGTATTCGCGAATTTAACGCCGATGCGAAACTCGCCGCGAGCGACTGCCGAGCGTTTAGGGGAAGAAACCTGCGGAAACTGGAAGCTTGAAGAGAGGTGAAGCAAGGGGATTCAGCCTGACACGCACGGGGGATGAATCCGCGTTAAACAACAAAAAGTTTCGCATGGATCTCACGGTATACGAGAATATTAAAATATTTCCAAGTGAAAACATACTGATTAAATTATCGAGCGAGTTTTTAACATGCAACAAGAGATTTTTAATTAGTACCAGTTCGCATTGAATGCAACTTCAATGCGCGATAATAATTTTTATTTTTTTTTCAAATAGTACATTGTCTTGAAAAAAATTCAACAGTTGCGACAATAAATTGCCAGCAATATCGCGCGTGAAAAATAATCGAAAGAAGCACGTCGAATGCACAACGTCGAACGCAGCTCCGTCGTACGTAGGTTCCGCCATCACGCTCGAACGCGCGGCAGCCCCGGTTGGTGGATAATTCGTCGAAGGAAGATGCGAATGCGAGGGAGAGGGCAGGGGGAGCCGAGCGAGAGGAGAGAAGCTGCCTGGGTGGCATAAATTCCCCTCCACGCGCAACATGGTCCTACGGTTAGTCCCTGCCTTCCGAATGTTCTTTAGCGCGGAGATGAGCTTCTGTGCGGAGGGTCTGTCCCTTTTCTCTGTCTCTGTTTGCCCAACGCGGGAGATCACACGACGTTGTAATTTATTCTTTGAACTTAGTGTGTGTGCGTGTGTGTGCGCGCGCATGAATTTAATTTACATTACACATTTTACATTATCTCTTATCAGTTTTATTCAGTCTCGAGACACACATTTGCGCGAAACGCATTTTTGCGTCTTCCCGAGCGAAGTCGAAGCAACGACCATCGGAAGCGATAAACGACGGGGATAGGAGGACGTTTATATTAACGTCGATAATGGACTTGGTGGAGCACTTAGCTAAACACTGTAAAGACCACGACGGGAGAGAGAGAGAGAGAGAGCGTAAGTATTGTACTGGAACGTGCGCGACAATGCCGCGCGTTATTGCGAGCTGGTTCGCGTATCGATACTTTACTTTCAGTCGTCGCGCGCGGTCGAAGAAGGCCGCAGCTAGCAAAAATAACAAGAGCGGGAAAACAAAGGATTTCGACGGGGAAAAGAAATGATTTGAGTCGAGAGAACGAGAGGGACAGAAAGCCCCCCGCCTCTCCCTCTCTCTTCTCTCGTAAGAGTCCCGCTCGCTCTCCTGACTCCGCACGAGAGTCACTCGAACGAAAAATAAAAACTAAAAAAAAACAAGAGAGAAAGAAAAACACTCGGCAGGGGAAGACTCTTGGCTTCGAGGTCTATTACGTGGCCCTGTGACGGGGTGTGCGTGGAGGGTGAACTATTGCGCGGTCGGACTCGTGCGCGCAAGAAGTTCGAGATGGCATCGAAGGAAACAATGCTACACTTACGCGACGAAAACGTGCCAGGTAAACGTCCACTCGTGTGCGCCACGATTGTGTGTTCGCCGAACGAGAGAGCGAGAGAGAGAGAGAGAGAGGCACGTTCCCGCCCTCTTCAACAACGAAACACACTGGCGAACGCGAAGTGGCGAACGCGCGAAGTGGCCAACTTTCAAACGAGCTTCGCCGAGGCGTGATTAACGCGGCTCGTTTTCCGAAGAGAAACGTTTTGCGACTCGCGTGCGGTGAAAAGATCGAGCCCACTCTCTCGAGCAAAAGCACCTCTTGTGCATACGAAACTATATCGACGACGCAATTCGCGTCCGTCGTGCGCGCTCTCCTAAGCGCGCTCATTCATTTCTTAAATTATGTTTTGAATCCGCTCGCCCCGGAGCGGAGAAATTGATATTAAATGTAAAGCCGTGAGTGAGGGAACAAAAGACGCGCTTTTCGCTCGCACTTATTGCTTCACCCCCGAGTGGGTGAACAATTTGTTTTATTTTGTCTTTGCAAATTTTCTGGCAACGTAAAAAAAAAATTTAAATTACATGTAAATAAATGAAACCAACGAAATAAAAATGTAGTAAAACCGATCCAAAAGAAATAAACAAGTTCTACCATCAACGCGCGCTAGTGTTATTTTACGAAGCACTTGATTTCGCGGCTACGACACGTTTCGCTACGTGGAGTAAACGCTATTTTACGGTACACTAAGGCCTGGGATATTGCGCGGAGGGGAGGAAGCGACCGGCTAAGAGACCAGATGCACTCCTGAGTTGAATGGCGACCGAATGGCAGCGATGATACAGATGTTATGCGCGCGATGCTCACTCGGGTGAATAAGAGTCAACGTCAGACGCGGAAAGTCCGACGCCATTATTATTAGAAGGGGGGAAAAGGAGCCCGGCTAATAACGCGTAATGCTGACCGCGGCCGCCCTTCTCCCGTGCGTTTTTATTAGCATTTTAACCCTCCGCGGTGCGTATGTGAGAGAGAGCTCCCCTCTTCCCTGACACGCCATAGGTGCTCGACGCGCGTAGAGGAGAACAAATCAGGGAGGGGGGGGGGTTACCGCGTTTCGGTGTGACACCTCGCACCCTTCGGGGATGACGATTATCGTTTTTAACACGACTAGAAAAGCCAGTCGGGGACAATGACCGCGTCGCCATGATGCGTCGTGCAACGGCCATCCAGATGTCGTAAAAATGGCGCGAGCACGAGGGCGAGAAAAAAAAAAAGAGAGAAACGGGCGCGAGAGGGTGG